ACTTTAATCGTCTTGAATTGTTTACTCATTTATACCGGTTAGTCATCATCTATACTTGTTAACTTAAATAATCCAGATTTGTTTACTTTAATCATCTTGAATTGGTAAATCATCTTAAGTTGCTATGGGAATCATGTAGCTTTGATTGAGTCCTTCTGGGGTGTCATTAAACTGCGTCAAAGTATTGATTTTGGTATTTGCTAGTATACTTATGTATTCACTTCTTATTTCTACATGCACATACTTTCTTTATGTTCGCCGCGATGCAACGTCGCTGATACGGCGTTATGCAATATTCACTCACTCACTCTTCTTTGTGGATTCAACATTACCAATATCAGTGTGATATATGAGCAATTGTTCCAGATACATATATCACCTACAGCTTGTCCATTGCACGTAACCTACAGGCATATCCCATATTGGCAGCTGTCACAAACAGATGGATTACATGTAATTGACATGCGACTGACACGTCATAGTACATTTACCACACTCTGAATGTCCATTTTGTCCTAATTATAGAGCAAGTCACAAAGAACTCGTGGGTCAATTTATGTTTCCCAGAAAATCAAAGTATTAGTTTCTTTAATGGCTGATAAATGAACACCAAATTTTGTAGTTTTCATCCTTTGACTGTCCTTAAGTGGTGGCGATAATGGGCCCCAAAACTACCCAGGTGTGCGTTATTGCTTTCAGCATGCAATAGTGAGCACGCAGCTGATGGTCAATTCTCTGATTGACCTTATCCTAACTGTTGACCGCGCAGTAATCCCCTAGGGTCAACAGGACCAATCACTCCAGATTAACTAATATCCTTCCGCTGAAGTTTAATGTCAGTGGTCATGCACAGTTCACACTGTCCAGTGTAATAGTTTAAACGTCCTTTGAATCGTGTGACCGTAGTTAAGGTTGTGCCATGGTACCATCAGATAGCGGTCGCATCAAGAGACTGAAACAAGAGTACATTTCGAATGACCAAACGGTTATCCAAAACCCTACTTCAAAGACGTAACATCTTAATACAAAACTGTGTCCTTGATATATAGAGAATCTCACCCAAGTGTCTTCTGATATCAATTATATCAATACCAGTTGATAAAGTTCAAATATCCGAGGCTTGTCAAGCCACAATATATCACAATATATATATATATATATATAGCCACAATATATCACAATATACGTTACGTGCAATGGACAAGCTGTAGGTGATATATGTATCTGGATATATAAACGCCACAATAGCCTTGACTATCCAACGGATCAAACATGTATTAATGGAGAAGTGAATATTGGTGATAACGCCAAATGTTCGCGAGAAGGACAAGCAAATATTGAAAAAAATGTATGCTCTTCAGATATAAGCATATATTATTCAATATGAAATGTACACATTCAATCTGTGATATACAAACATACACTTAAACACTGTTGTGTCGAATATTAAGCTGTCGAAAGTACGGTTGTCTCGAAGCAAAGCTCCTTGCGTATTCCTGTTTGATGATCATGTTGCTATTGTGTCGAAACTCGGATAACTCGAAATATTTACGTAGGTTCCTTCAACTTCGGGACAATGGTGTTCGACTGTATATTATCACATATTATATCACATTATATTACTACTTTATTTTCGTAGATCAGTTGTTCTAATGAACAATAAAATAAAGCACTGAAACCATCTTTAACTGATCTTGGTGAGTGAGTGAGTTTGGATTTACGCCGCTTTTAGCAATATTCCAGCAATATCACGGCGGGGGACACCAGAAATGGGCTTCACACATTGTACCCATGTGGGGAATCGAACTCGGGTCTTCGGTGGGACGAGCGAACGCTTTAACCACTCGGCTACTCCACCACCCCTATCTTGGCGAATATGTTCGACTGTATTATATACATTGGGAACATCTCCATCATGAAATGCAATGCTTAACATGGGCTGTGACAGCACTATCATAGTTTTCTCCGTAAAGCAATAAAATACCTTTGAGACTAGATGCTGCGCTATGGAACGTATAACATGCCCTGACATAAAGAAATGTACAACCCACTTATCAGATGAAATGTACAAATGGTGGTGTCTATTTCTTGGGGGTCATTAATAATGCATTGCTCTTAAAACGTCAAAACATCCCAAGAAAGATTGATACCCTGTTGCCTTGGATTAATTTCAGATAGTATAAATATTTCATATATGTTACCATTGTAGCAAAATAAACTAAAATATACAGTAACAGTCAAAATGAAAACAAGATGGCGAGGATAATTCTAGAAGTGCGTTTCAAGGTTGACAACAAACAACTAGGCGTGAGTGAGTTCATTTCGAAGTGCTTTAGACAGAAACATCCCGAAGCAGTATAGAAGGTAGCCACTAACGCAAGTGAGTGAGTTTAACTTTGTTCTAGCAATATCAGGGCGGGGAACACCAGATAGGGGCACCATGTAAGGAATCGAACCCAGTTCTTCGGCGTGACGAGCGACAGTGCTTTAACCACTCGGCTACCCTACCGCCCCAAAAAACTACGGTGGATTGTGCGAGCATTATTATACCAAAACCAAACCCAGGGAGACTCCGGGATTCGAACACTCTTCCTTAAGATCCTCGCCCCCTAAGGGACGCTACTCTGCACAACGAATGGTAGCCGATTAGACTTGTTGACCCTTGCCCACAAGTTACTGACATTACGTACGTGGACCGGGAAGACGCTGACGGCTTATGTGATACTTCAATCTGTTTACCTTCTAACATACACCAGCTTTAGCCTCATACACCGAGAATAATTGTTCACACTTCTCTCATACTGTATATTTCATGAGTTTGTATGACGGAAAATCCAGGCTGAATTTGCTAACATGTGTATACCATGGTGTAGCCTGAGCCCCCCGGTGTATGTGTAAATAATAACAGTTGGTGTAAGGTTACACGGGCGGTGTGATAGCCCATAACGCTGAGGGCGTGATGTTTGTCCCTTGTCATAATAAATGGATCCGTTTTCCTGGCTTGTGACATTCGTTCGAGTGTGATCGATTTTCTGGCCTTTTGAGATTGTTTTTGTTTAATCTGAAGACGAAACTCATGTTACCATATGAAAAGTATTAAACGTCATAAAATCCATCAATCATTATATTCATAAAATCATCTTATAGAGCAAAGATCATTTCTTGAAGTTGCATTTGAATACCACTTTCAAAACACAGTATTGCATTATTCAAGAAATTAAATGTCTGTTTCCACATGCGCATTTCAAAAATAAACTAATTTGAATTTAAAATGAATTTTTTTCTCAACTTTTATTTTTTTTCTTTATGTTGGATACTTTGTTCAGGACGACGTACATTTGCTAAAGATTAAATAAGTCGAAAGTTCGAACTATAACTGAGTTGAAAGTGTGCGTGTAGCTAGGGTATATGTTTGTTCTCCAGTGATGTTTTTTTCAGTGACAGATTATTATTCTATCGTGACCATGCATATTTATAATTTTGGGAGCAGCTGTTCTTTTTATATAGACTTTGTCTTGATATTCAATACAACCTCGTTTGTTCTCATTTGTTTATTCTAGAAATCCTTTTCTTATTTCAGTCGGGAATGAATCATCTTATTGGAGAAAGTGAACAATTTGGTTCGGATATATCGAATATCAATGTATAATTAACGAGCAGAGACAGTCAGTGTTAACGACTTGTGAGGAGAGAAAACGCAGGGACGACGTTGATTTTGTCATTCCCGTTATATTCGACACATCCGGGGAACAATGCGTCAACAAATCATATATTACATATATCTGATTTTGTGTTTTGACGAAGTTGGATAAATTATCGATAACTTATCATGTAAAACGTCTCACTTGGCAATCCGAATTCGTAACAGCCGGAGTTGAGCATCTGAAATTCAAGAAGATTAGAACTAACTTTGCAATAGTCAGTATTTCGCTAATTCTGTGAAAATAAATAATGGCGAGTATTGAAAATATTCGATTTCGTTATAACCGTAGTACAGCTGTGTTTGGTAAACATCTTTTGTGGGATGTATTTCGCTGCTCGTTACCTAAGTTAAACATTGAATATTATTGGCACCAAATTGAAGTGCTGACCAAATGTTAATTATGGTTCGATACAAATCTTACTTTTCATCACGTGAGTTCAAAGAAGGCTTGATATGAAAATACAAAATAAATCATCCCCGGCAAAAAAGTGTCGAGGGAACATTTTCATTAATTTCGGGATTTCCTTTACACGGTGTAAAAGGGTGAGTAAATATGTGCTTTCTCGTGTCAGGGAAATGAATCGGAGCACCATGCCGATAATGAAAATACGTGCATGTCGTCGATGTATGTTCACGTGGTGATGCGGTTGAAAGCGCCGTCGTCCGTGCGACAGCTGCCGTGGATATTAATGCAACATTCAAAGTGTCACCCTCATTTATCGATCTTTCATTTATCAGGCTAAAACCTTCTCCATGGATTTGTAATACAGGAAAATACCACCATTTTTCAGCCCCTATCAGTATTCTAACTCATGGATAAATATAGATTTATAATACCTGTCCATCAAACCAGAGCCGCACTGGGAGCCATTATACTCTGTGAAAGTAAGTTTTCGTTAGCACACATCGAGAAATTTATCAATTAATTAACACCTCTCCGGACAAGACGGGGATAGAGGCACTTAGGAAATGTAAACATGGAGTTATAGCTGTCAACGTTGGAGTCTTTGACAGCGTGTATTTTTTGGTGTGGGTGGGGGTGGGGGCCGGAGGGATGGGTTGCCCAGTCCTTTGTTCGTCACACGCGCAGAGGGCATGTCGTGAAAACTGGTATTTGGTTTGAGCGTCACGCATAATACTGCGCTGCAACTTTAATAGCACAGCTACCCCTTTAAATTGGGTCTGGACGAGCTACCCGTGAGAGTACCCTGTCCCTCCCACTCCGGTCGACTGAGGACGCGGTCATAACTCGTTCAATCACAGTTCTCTCCGCAGATGTGACTCATGGATTGAGACGCCTCGCTCGCGCCATTCGCCGTAACAAAGTCCATAGCATACCTGTTTGGATATTAGTTTAGCATGACATATCGTCTTTTATCCTACGAAAACTCCACCAATCATGTCCCAAAAGGGGAGGAGTTGTGACGTCAGAGGGGCTGTTGCAGCACGCGGTGGAGTAACGTAAGCCGAAGAGGCTGGGGATGTCGACAAACTAAATGTCTGGTAGGGGGCGCTCGTTGTCATAAACACGCCGAGTAACGCTCGCTCTGCTAGCCGAGCCCGTCAGTACGAGACTACGCGAGTGAGAGAGAGGCACTGCGCTACAGTATGTAGTGGTTGGCAATGGGAGCGGGAGGCCGGAGTTGTGTTATATTTCCACGAAGGATGTGATTGTGGTTTAGAAACATGAAGTGTGTACAAAGATGGACGTTACACCCTAACCTTGGCTTGTGCCTGCTGGTGTTCATAGCGCTCAGCCATATACAATATTCTGTCGCCTGTCCAAAGGATTGTTTTTGTCCACAACACAGTAATAATGTGTACTGTTCCAGGAAACGTTTACCGGCTATTCCAATGGGGATTCCGTTTAACACAGTGGAGCTCAACCTAAACGAGAATGAATTTGAAAACCAAGTTCTCTCAAGGAGGAATTTTACAAATTTGAATAATTTAGAAAATTTGTATTTGAGTAACTGTGGAATCAAAACGATAACTTTGGATACATTCAAGGAACTAAAGAAACTCAAATGGTTGGACATTAGCAAGAATAATATCGAGTTCATTGCAGACTTCACATTCCGTGGCCTAGATCTGGAGCATTTATTTATGAACGACAACCCTGGGATCCAGCTGTCTAACAAGGCGTTTGATGGACTGTCATCTCGAGGATTGTATATGCACAGATGTGACCTGGTCAATCTGTCCAAGGAGGTGCTGCGGCCTCTAGATGGGACTCTTTTGGCGCTATGGTTGGATGAAAATAAATTTGAACAGTTTCCTTTTGTATGGCTACAACAATTTAATCTGAGCCATCTTCGGCTCGGAAACAACCCGTTCCATTGTAACTGTGAGTTAACATGGCTATACAAATATTACACTGGTAACCCGTCAGTATTTTCAGGCGGGGTGGTGCCATCATGTAGCTCGCCAGTGCTCAACAGGGGTAAAATGTTCACACAACTCAAACCTGAGGACTTTCGGTGTGAGTTGCCGACGTTCAAAAACGTGGATGCTGTGTTTGAAGTGGATCTTGCTAAACTTTCCTGCACTGCTAGTGGCGACCCCACACCGTCCGTCTTCTGGGTGCGTCCAGATGGCACCACGGAGACATTCTACCCTCCCACTGAGGACGACGTCAGGGACAACGAAGGCATCATGTACGTGACAGACCTTCACTTAAAGGACAGTTCTGTATTCAAATGCGTTGCCAGCAACCCGGCAGGAAATGTAACATTCACCCTCAACGTTGCCTGGCCCCCCGAGAAACCCACCTCCACAGGGGCAGCTGCCCAGCACCCCTCCCCAGCCACCGTGCTCCCCATCAGTGACGACTCCAGGCCCAGGGGGGAGGATTCGTATGGGTGGACGGCTAATAAAGCTGAAAAGAAACTGGGAGTTATGGCTGACCATAACTCCGTGGAAGGTTACTTCACAATAGTAGATATAGTAGGCGCGGTCGTTGGAACATTCCTCTTAACACTACTGGTATGTGTAGTGGTGTTCCATTTTTATTACAAAAGAAGAGAACGGTTAAAGTACGAGGAAGCACAGGTGAGGAACGATAAAAAACGCAGCCCGAACAATTTATATAACTATATGGCTGAACCCGACGAGAATTGTTTGAAAATGATAAACCATTCAAACGATACGAGTATTCCAAGCTGAGGACTGTAATGGATTTTTAGTTGACAAACGCCGAGGTCCGCCGGAGCGGACCGAGAAATTCCGGAAACAATGACCAGAGTAGCGGTCATTTCGAGACAGATCCTTTCAAGCCCCGAGAAGATTAAAGGCTGCGGAATAACAAGGGCTTGAGGTGGATTTTCAGGAGGGCAATTATTCTTGTTGGAGAAAGAAAGATTTATTTTTCTACAAAGGAAATCGTTTCGCAGAGATTATCAATGTTCAAGTTTTGGCTTAACCGAGCAAGAAAAAGTAAAATAGCCCTGGATAGACAGAACCCTGATATGGAAGGTATGATGTTAGTGTTGATGTTGGTGTTGATGTTTGTGGATGGTACAGCCTCTACCTTTCGTGTCTTCACACCGGGACAAAACACTGTCAACATGCGTTTAAGTGCTTTGTCCCCCCCACAGTGTACCGACAGCGAGTAGCTGTGAGTCTTTACCTATGTCCCATGTTGGAAGAATTCTCATAATTACTGAACAAATACAACTTGTGGATTGCTTTCATTCTGAAGTGCTGGGAAAATGCTCTTTGTGAAAAGTATACGGCTTGAATATGTGATATTGTGTGTTATGGCGTCTTGCAGTTTGTTTTGAGTGGACGCGAGGAAATGTATGTGGTGTTCTACCGGGACGTCACCCAGCGTCTCGACAGGGCGGGGTTGCCCCTCCCTTGTGGACGTTTACGTGGCAACATCATCAGTGACTTCATTCAACGTGACCATGACATGAGAGGACAATACGGTGACGTAACGTTATGGAGTACGGAGGCCTTCTATACGGCTCGCTATGTAAATATTTAGGTACATGTTGGTCTCGGCTTGTCAATGGCTTCCCTATTATAAGTCTGTGCGTTAGATGATGGCTTGCCAAGAGCAAACAGGAAACACATAATTAATAATTATTGACTTTGAAGCTATTAATAATTATTGATTTTCAAACAATTAATTATTGATTTTCGAACAATTATTAGTGCATTGTCAGGAGATAGTGTTTGCTGATGAAATTATAGATGATGATCGCTCATTTCTATGAGAATCAATTACGGAAAGATTTTAATTCATATACGTATTCAAACGTCATATTTATAAACACAAAACTAAATGGAACTTTTTATTTACGACACATAGCGGCGTTTCCATGGAGATTCTTATACCGTTATCAACCTGGAGTAAACTTGCTAATTATTCAAAATTTTCCAATATTTGATATGACATAATTTATCTGCACTTTTGGATTCAAATGTAAGTTTTGGAAATATTTGTGTATTTGTTCAGATGTGAAGGGATATTACAAAGTAATGTTAAATATATCATTTGCTTCTTTCATACGATATTTGATTTGATAATACGACAGTCTCCAGTATTTGCCGTCGGACATTTCATTTCATGTTAATTTTAAGCGTTGATGAAACAAACAGAAAGTAATATCCTTCTGTCTGAATGTAAAGAATCTGTTTCGAAAATTCAATATCTTCATGACTGTCGACTTCATTAAAGTCAATCTCGGCTAACCAGCAATTACCGTATATCAATAGAAATGTCTCCAGTTAGAATCAGTGTTTACTCCAGGTGAAAAAAATAATCAAATGCCGAGGCTGATGTCGAAGGCAAATATTTCAAGTTGCCATTAAATGAGAATGTTTTCACAGATGGTCTTGGCAGGCCATCCCAGTCTAAACTCTGTTTCCCCCAGTTCTGAAAGCGTTACTAGGGTACTTTACCAATTCTAGACCCATAAACACATTTCAACTCACAAATTCGTGGAAATTCAATTTGCTTTTGTGCCATAAAAATCGACGCTCTATTTAGCCTGCAAATCATCGAAGTGGTAATCGTTTGAAATGTTTGAACTAGCGTGAGATCGATCAGTCTTTTCTAGTAGCAATGTACGTGTTTTGTAAGACGAGGATTCAGGGTTAGCTAGTGGTTTACAGGCGGGGAAACCGATAGAAATAGATACAAATAATGTGTCGTTCGTTGCCATGGAAACAGATTTCATTATATTGGACCGTGCTTAGAAACCATACTCCTGCAGGAATCGGCTCATAATGGTAAAAGGACTATTGATTTTGACAATATGAAATAATGACAGTATATTAAAAGACCCTTGACAACAGTAGTATGCCCTATATTATTCACGCGAACACAAGGCATGAACATCCTGCTGTGACTACAAGAATAAAAAATATGATTTTTAAAACCGACCATTGATCAATTGCAGTGAGTCACAATACAAGTGATGTCATACGTAAACGTGTCATATTCCATAAAAGCCAGGTAAAGTAGCAACGGTTAAAATACGTATTGTCTACATGAAAGCAGTTTCACGGAATATGTTTTCGTCAATCACCTGAATGCAAGTTTGAATTTTGGACCATTACATGTACAATCTGTTCAAAACGTAACGTGTTTGTGACACTGAGTCCTGTTTCTATAGTAACCTTTATCATATTGAATCGTTAAGCCAAGTGTGCGTTTCTTTAAAAGACAGAACCTTGCAATAGATAAGCGTTGTACAAGGGTGTTCCTTCCCTCGGGGTATGCTTTCTGAGCACGGACCACCGCGTATATATTATATCCTCATGATCACTAAATCAGTGTTATATATATTTGTCATTGTACATATTCGTCATAATTATTACTTGTAAATACAAATTTTTATTAAGATAAACTTGTGTTCAAACTTTTAATCGTCGTTCTTTAAATCACTTTTCTGCATCATAGAATTTAGAAAGTGGATTTAATTCGGAACCAGAATTGAAAGAACATGTAATTGTTCATTTAGAATACTTACAAATGTAATCCTCCCATTTCAATCAATACATCAATACTACATTGTAAGAAACAGGATGGAATCTTTGTTAAAGAATACAAAGGATATTGTATAGTACATATCAGTGTGTTGTTTATAACACATATGTACATTAGTATGACGGCTTGTTTAATGCGATAGGAACATTTACTAAACGTGTCTTCAGTTCCTGGTAAGATCGATCTTCTACCGAGCGTTACATCTTCTTGAATCAATTCATAGTGAATTATTTCATAAGTGCACATGCGATGCATGAGAAACTGTGTAGGGTTGTGATGAGTTTATACCGAATTGACCTCTGATTCACACTGTAACAAGACGCAATTGCTGTAATGACACATGAATATGCAATGACCCCGTTAAGTGTGTTGGACCAATTACCCAATGCAGTGGAGAAACCTTGTTGGATGTAGAGCTGCATCAGTTGGGCGAGCTCATGAACTTTCCGCCTTGTGTCGTATGAAAACTTTATGACGCTTTGCTTCGAACTCTGATAGTCATTAACAACCCCTCACACGCTATCACATCTTTGGTGTATATCTTATTCAATTGAAACCACATACCCTGAAAGAGTATTATGATTTGAGTACAAAATTAAAACCATTTAAACCAGCTGTTTCATTGTAAAGCGTCAAAAAACCCAAGCCTTTATTTACAAAATTTGATCTTTTCCAGAATGACGCTTATTTTCAAACACTTCACCGTAGCTATGCTATGTAAACAAACACTGAAAATGCACTGGGCATCATTAACGATGCGGTATTCATAGCTCTGTTATTTTCACAACGTTGCCTCGAGGGATGTTTTAATTACCACGACAGTGAAGGTTTAATCCTCGGATCCATATTGTACAAAGCCCCGAGCTGGAGCGGGTTGCATCTTGTGTCTAAAGGCCTAGCTTCATCGTGTGAACGTTTGAACTTTCTAGATCCAGGCCTACCACCTTCATCAGAGGGCATCATCGGAATCACACGAGATTCACATCCGGTCTCTGTGCTTGTCTCTTTAACATCATCATTTTCCTCTTCCCATTCACGTCCAGTAACTACTGAGAAACTCAGGCAGTAATTTCCAGTAGTAATGACAGTTGTCTCTCTGGCGTCAATCTCAGTGACATCATTAATCCACTCCGACTCCAAACAGTGCCAAACCAGGCCAAGCTTTTGTTTGACATTTTTGGGGTTGGGGGGTTCCTGTGTAGTACACATTGCACCTCGTTAACAAACCTCAGCGGTAGTCTTATGGCAATGTGGTGTAATAAACTGACCTTATCACAGCGGTACACGCTGCACGTTTCACCACATCTTCAGGCGATGCCAGATTACTTCTGTGGCTGCAGAACCACCTCCATTCCCACCACCTGTCAAGATTAGCGAGTCAATTATAACCACCACTCGGCATGCAATAATTACAGATGCTTATCTCCAGTCTCCACACGGTGATTGTTCTATTTAAGTATTTTCTTTCTATTGTTATGAGTCAGAAATAATCGACCCTTACCACCCAAACGTTGGATGAGGATGGGATACTCTTTCACCTTATCGCCAACCTGAAACCTTATTACAGGGATAATTTTACCCTTATCGCTCCTAATAACCCGTTTCTGACCAGCCGAAGTCATCTGCGTTCGTCCATCCACTGAAGGCTTATCTCATTCTTTTGATCGTGAAACGGAATACATTTGCTATTTTTGTCCCCCTCCTATAGGTAATTCCTCCTTTATATGCCTGTTTTCATTCAGCGCGCTATAAGAGTCTATAAATCCGTCCAAATGTTTATATCATCTCATAAAACGTTATAACCTGTTCCAATGGGAAGGTTGTGAATGTGTGAATATTGGGAAATCATAACACTTGTTTGTGTTTGTACAAACACTAATATGTTAATATCAATATTTGTATATGATCGCACGAATATTAAAGCGAGTTGACGTTTCACTATTAATCATAATCTCAAAGCTGACATCAGCAGAGCTAACATTGGAGTTCATATTTAGACTTGTCTGTGAGACAGAAGTAAAGCTATGATATCAGCTCTGTCATATCTATTTATTATGATATTATTTATTTTGCTGATAGCGTTTATTCCGATATAAAATGACCGTCCGAGTAAAATGCAGTGGTTTGCAAATTCCATTAATGCGTGTATATTTAGTTGCAGAGCGGGGCATTCTGTGCTGTTTAATGATTCATGAAAATGGAATATGATACACGGGAGATAGGAACGCACAGCAGGGAGAGTAGACAAATGGTGAAGATATTACATTATTCAAGCCATGGCTAACATAGAGTTTCCCAGAGGAGAACAAAAACCATGACGATCTTATAACTAAATACTGTTTTGATATGTATGTCGTGCTAAACAAATTGTCTGTTTTGCTTCATGTAGATATTCGAAGGCTCAAACAGTGAGGGTGAAGAAAATGGATGCCAAAAAACAATACACACGAAGCAAAGAAAATTAAATTATATTTTGAAAAACTATTACGACAACACATAACTGAAAATGGTTTTATTGCTACTTTTATAAAATTGAAATACTTCATGAGATGTGTAGGAGTAAATAACGTGAAAAACGTTCACTATCAACAACACTTTGAGGTTTATTAAGTAATATATCCCCTGGCACCCTTTGATATGAATGCATGTTTTCCTATTATTGTTCTAATTGCCATTATCATTATTATTATCATCACTACTATAACCACCTAAACCTGTACTACTACTGCTACTACTATTGCTGCTGCTACTACTATTTCTACTAATGAATGGCTCTACAATGCCTATGATGAACTGGTCCTGGTATACCAAATTACATTCATTAACCTCAGATCTTCACAATCAATAACATCGGGGGTCAGCAAAGGTCAAATATATTAAATTTTGATATAACTGTTCCTGTTGGTATTCTAGACAAAAGGTATCATAATGTCAGATGTCAACTTGCATTATGTTCACGTGACCTCAAAACGGTTCACTATCAATACCATATTCACGTCATCTGTGGGAATATTATATGGATGATGGCTTTCTTTTCAAATTGTTCCTCATGCTGGGTTGTATTGTTACTTGAACACTGTGGAATCAGAAGAGAAGGGTCTATTAACATTAATACTGATCTAATGAGTTGCTGCAAGGCGGTCTCGTTTGTAATTATCACTCGCATTTCTGTGAAACACGATCAATGCCATTTCTGCATCTCACGCTCTGAAAATTCAAAATGGCGGAACAATGGTCTGTCGTCTGCATTGTAGCAAAGGCTCATGGGATAGGGTTGTCATTGCAAACACCACCACCTGTTATGGTTGTGATTAAGGACTTGGTGAGATATTCCTGTCTAGTTATGTGACATTTGTTATGGAGCATGTCCTGTACTGCTGTGGCGTGACAGTAATTTTTAATGGATGCTGGTATCTACGTACTGTGAACTTTCAGTAAACAATATTGTAATTTGTCCCTGTATTGTCACATCAAGGTTTTCGTGGTTGTATCTCTTCTGTTTACATAGATTCATTTCATGCACAAAACTAGCAGAACGTTTTGAAAACACAAATATGCACTGGAATTTGTATTCCGTGTTCTTACTGTAATGGTACGATCCGGATGACTTATACGGACTGATTGAATGACGTCATATTCAGTTTTCACATTCGTGCGCCAGTGATATGTAATATATAAGTATAAAAATTACCACATAGATGCATGTTAATTAATTAATTTCCATTCCATGTAATACCATGTAATATTAGTTTCACAGTCCATGTAAAACAAGCTGGTACGTACCTATCCGACTCATTCTCTCTCAGAAACACGTGGGCCGTTGGGGTAGCCTAGAGGTTAACGCGTCTACTCGTCACGCTGAAATCCCGGGTTCGATTCCGCACATGGGTACAGTGTGTGTGTGAATTTCTGGTGTCCCCCGCCGTGATATTTGCGGCGTAAAACTAAACTCACTCACAAACACGAAAGCACGATGTGATAAAACGCTGTCGAGTGTCTAATTGATTACCGTTGTCAAATAATACTTGGTGTAATTATTTGATAGTAATATTAACATTTACATCACAACTGTTATGCTTGCCTACCATCAATTAACTGGCGCCAGGTTGTCGGATTTTAGCTGTAGGTGCTAAATGTTTTCCTCACGGTTTCCAAGTATTTTCATTACGGAGTGAATTGTCTGCAACAAAATGGATCGTTCAATTCGGAGTTTGGTTAAATTTTCAATATTTTTTTTTCAAATTCAATTTAATAATTAAACTGATTCAATTTTGGCGTCAAATAGAGTTCATCTCTTTTAGTGTTAAGGGGACTGATTTATTTCGTACGGTATTCTTAGCAGCACTATCTTCATCCTCTCCAACACGACAACATAACGGGATATATGTCAGAGCTAACGCCCCATCACATAACAAATAGGGCTGTTTCCCTACTCCCCAGCATTGCTCACTTTCATTTCATGTACCATTTGTATGCTGTTCATCACCAAGCTGCGGTGCGTGGAGTGTGGGCGCAGTAATCTAAGCTGTAAAATAGTCCCATCTGCAGGGACGTGGGAGATGTATGGCTTGGTGTTTTTATGACCAGATCGATATATGCAGTGCCTGCAAAGTAGGCCTGTATAATGTTGACCATGGACCACGCAGTGGAAGATATTAACACACTATACCCAGAAGCGATAACTGAGCGGTTATTTTTATATTAATACTGCAGTTTTTACACCCGAAAACGACATTTTTTAAAGTTAAATCCGGCAAGTCGTAAATTCCAGATATTAAACCCAGGACATGCTTTTGTGATATAAAAGCTCGTACATTTTGAAGTTTAATCGTTCAGAGTATTGACTCCGTATCATATTGTGTAACATGTACAGAGAAAC